GAATGCAATATTACTGCTGCAGAAAAAGTCTGCAATGAACATTTAAAATATCTACATGTTTTATCATGACTCACTTTTTCTAAAATCCATGACATAACTTCTTCCGTTTCATGCAGAAAGTGGACTCTTTTCTGAGTAAAGAGAAGCATGCGGCCTTTCTCTGCTGATTTGGAAAGCAGCAATTCCCATAACTTGATGAGTGAATCAAGACGTTCCTGTGGAAGAATGTTCATTTCAAGCATTGAGTATTTGTTGTTTTTAAATAACAGAAAAAAAAATAATCATCAAAGCCTATTAAAATTCCCTATAAGTACGTTTTTATTTCTTCTAACCATTTTCACTGCATTACCACAGTAGGGTAGGACAAGAACGGAACTTATGTGAACCATGCGAGTAGTCCACCCAATAAATTCCACCCATCCTACCCCAGGGAAGGACATCCATCACACAGTAATCTCGTGCGTGGGAAATTAACATCTCCTACCCCTAACCCTGCTGGAGACAGGACCTCCATTTATTCGTCCCTATCCAAGAAGACTAGAATATCTAACCATTTCTTGATGTTATAGAAAGGTAGCATATTCTTCTCAATTATTTTAAGACCTTGAGTGTTGGTCCAGCTGGGGCTTGAACCCTCGACCGACCAGTGCTCTATCCATTGAGCTAACTGGGAAGCTTATTACAGTCAAGTTCATTTTGTTGCAATTGATATTTACTTGGTTACACAACACTTCTTCAGTTAGTCATGTTTTACACTCTCTCATCATCAAACTTTATTCCACGCACATCATTTTCCCATCTCCACCCGCAAATAGAAAAAGCTAGACGAGGCAGGCAGAGAGGTAAGGTTACAGCAGTCATAACAGATAATATAATAATTGTAAAGTAACTAACTAACTAACTACCTATCTCATTTCACATCACATATAAATTCTGACTGTTTATTAAATTTCATTTATTTACTAAGTTTTGTTTCCCATACTATTGTATAGGTAACTTTCAGTTTGTATTCTCAAGTTTCAATTATATATTCCCTCTTTTCATTTGTTAATTTCTATTAGGCACATAAATCTGCATGTACCCCTTTGTTAGCAAATGCAACACTTCAAAATGGAAAAACGGTGGTTTTGCCCTCATCTCTGCAAGATGTGTTTCATAGCTTTTGTGAAATCAAATTACATGTATACAGGGCTTGACACTTAAAGGTAGCCCACTAGTCACAAACTGGTAGAAATTCAGTTTTTACTGGTGGTTTTCGATTTCTGCTAGCCAGTTTGGCTAGTAAACAAACTGAAATTGTCATAACAGCTAAGATGTCACCAGCCACTTGGCTAGTAAGTTGAAAAGTTAGTGTTGAGCCCTGGAATACCTTGTACATGTAGTATTTAGGAACTAAGTAAAGGCACTTAACTTACCCTAATAAGTTCAGAGGCATAGTGGGACTCACTTATCATGCCTTCACCATTCTCTTGGAGTTCAACAATCGCATTGCTGTGAGCTGAAATCTCTGCTTCAAAGGCCTGATGTTTCTGGAGTTTACCCTGGACAACACAAAAATAATTGTGTAGAATTATAATGAAAAAAGTTTGCAGAATGTTGCCCATGTCATTAAAATGATCAGGAAGAAGATCAAATAGTAAATATAAGTTTTATCCATTTGTAGTTTGATAATGATATCATATTCTTAAAAAAAATTCTCCTCAAATTTTTAATCCAGTGAGGCAAACAAAACATTCTTGTATTAATCTTATTTTCCACATTCTTTTTTAATACCTACATGTACAGGTCTGAAGATTTGTGAAGCCAAAAATTTACTAATAATTCATTCATGTAACAGATTAGTTTCAACCCTAATGAAAGATGAGCTGAGGGGCAAACAAAATTATGCCATCCTTTACTTACAGCTAAATGACCAATCAGTATGAACAGTATAGCCTACACAAATCAAAGCAATGTATTCAGCACTGAAATTATGCACACTTGCAATTGATTACAGTGTGCAGGTAGGTCAGCATGTATAACGCTGGTAAGAGAACAAAGAGGGAAGATGATTCTTGCAGCAAACTTTAAGGTTTTATTTAATGGATTATTGCTTTCCTTTGTATCAAAATTCGATTACAATGCATCACAGGAACTGCAATTGAAGAAAGCAGTTCGTTTCATATCATTTGATGCAAATCAGAAAAAGATCTTTACTTTTCAAACCGATGCAACTTAAATGTAATACTCAATAAAGCCACTAAATAATAAAGAACGATGGAGTCGATCCCTTTCCTCGGCGAAGATAAATTAATTAGAGTTTCTGGCAGTTTCTTGCATTATCGGAAGGTGGCGCGTGGTTTGAATAATTTGCATAGTATATAAATGGCAGCACTTTTCTGAGATCAGACCGCAGAGTTAGCCCAATAATTCTTAAGGCACTTTCTTCAAAGTGATTTCGTACTTGAATTGCTCTGATTCCGTTGAGGCAAGGGAGGATGACAGAAAATTTCTAAATTTAATCAATCAAGTTGTTATGGTTCACGCTAAATGGCGTCGTACTATCTAGTCACGCACGCGAATTCAAGCGTGATATTTTGTTACACAAACTGTTGTGAAAACTATTTCTCCAGAAGATCTACGAACAGGGGACGTGTAATCTATAACACGACGGCAAAATATATAAAAGTCGATCTTTAACTCACAATCTGCATCAAACCATGACAAAACAAACGGACAAATTTTGTAATCTCGACAAAGGTCTACACGGGGCGTTGTCGAAGGAGAGCAAGCTTTGAAGCGAATAAAGCATCCTTGTATTAATCGATCATAGTTCTCCCTTTATCCTTTTAATACCTACCTGAAGGTTTGTTGGGTCTCTGTAGTTTTCATCGCAAGCAATTTGAAGTTTTTCATTGATCCACGCTTCCACTTCATCAGCATCGCGCTTGAATTGATGGTAGCGTTTGGCATCTTCCAAACGCTGACGCCGGAGCCGAGTTGCTTCTTTAAACTCTGCATAGCGCCGCAAAACCTGTTCACGACGGTTTTGGATATCCTCAACAGTTTCTAAAATGGCTATTTGACGAGAGTCAACCTCAGCCATTGTAAATATCTCTTCACCACAAGACTAGGCGGCGAAATACACAAGGTTAGTGAAGGGATCGCCTTCAATAATGTCCTTGGAATCGCCCCAATAAAGGGTTTAGTCACGTGGTCACGTGGCAAAAGATATCCCCAGGAGAGGAGAAGAGAGGAGGACGGAACGTCATAAGGGGAAAAAGCGAACCATTTTAAAACATACCTTACATCAAACGATTATCTATCATTTCAATATAAGAATTTGGTGTGACATATAAATATCACAAACACCAATTTTACTTTTGAAATAACTGAGGTTTTCAATGATTATTTTCTCCTCCCTACCTGTGTCAGAAGAAATTTACACGTGCTGGTCAAGTCGCCTCGTTCGCGTGCACCCAAAATCCCGGCAAAATGTCGGCCACTCAATTCAAGAACTTTCTCTATGCATTTTGTGGAAAACGTAAAACTAGTCCTATTTATACGGAAAGACCTTCTACTCAAGGAACTTTCAAATTCCAGGTAAAATTTCCAGCTAAAGTTGAATTTTCTAGCTTTCTTGAAGCTTTTTTCCCTAGCACACACAGTGGACACATAGGAGGTGTAGTGAAAGTAGAGCTCTAGATCTTTTCCTGAAGTTTGAATAAATTCGATCGCTCCTCATTGTTTAACTGCAGGTTCAAATAGATGGATTTGATTATGTGGGCCTTGGAAGTGCAACCAACAAGAAAGATGCTGAAACTAATGCTGCTAAGGATTTCTGTGGTTTTCTCATCGGAGCTGGAATTATTCCTCCAGATTCATTTCCAGATGATTTATTTGTGAGTTATGTGGTGTTATGATGATTGAATTAATTGAAATAAGTAAATGTTTTTAATCAACACTGCTCATATGTTAACTGAATATGTTAACTGCACTGTGTTGGGTAGATGTCCAGTTGTCAAAAAAAAGGTATAATGAGTATTTTTTGATAGATGGTGAAAACCTAATTTTCTCCCTAGAGAAGACTTGCCCTGATGCAAGTTCCATATATCAGGACGACTTCTTTAATTTAACTAATTTTTTTTATTTCCTCATTCTCCCATATCCTCCCTGATAGTTTATGCCATCAGTCCTTGCTGAAGGATAATTTTAGAGCCCAGCCCACTAGTTGCAGTCCATTCAGTGAAGGACCATGGCCAGTTTAACACCCAAAAAGTGGCTTTTCTTTGTTTTCATGATACCATTGCAATATTTTGCACCAAAATAATTTTTGCTACCATGCAACAACCAATTGTGGACTTGCACTAGTATTTTTCTACCTTTACTTTTAAGTGATATTCCAGTGATATCATTCAGATAAATGAATTCAGGGTTGTTAGATGTAGCTAGTTTGAACCCATGATATGAAAGTTGCCCTGGTATCGTGTACTCATGCTTGAGAGATAAGGTAGCTATTGATCTATATTAGGTGGGTAGGTAAATTTATTTCGATTCGAGATGTACAATGAGCCAGTGACTCATACTAAATACATTCGAATAATTATATAAAATTCTACATCTAAAGTTAACTAAGAATATACAGATACTATATATATATTAATATAATGAGAATATAAATTACCTAATGTAATATACTTCCTAAAAAAGAGTACATTAATGTGGTAGCATGGTTTCTAGTAACTTGTAAAGTATTCTTACTAGTGATAAATATACTAAAAATAAATGCTTAACAGGAAGAACTGGTAAATGTATAACAGCATCGTGGTAAAAATGCAAGAAATAAATAGCAATGCAGAGAAAAAAAAAAAAGGTTGGTAAGATAATTAGTAAAATAAACTAAGATATATAATGAACGGTAGAGCTAACTCTATGGTTCACATATGTTACATTTGCACAATATGCCACTAGTAAGACTTGTTTTCGATATAGCTTTTTTAAATTTGTTTATGGAGTTAATGGCACTAAATAGTCTTTCTTTTGTTGCTAAAGTAAGATAAAGATCACATGAGATACCTCTAAGATCAACAGTTAAGATGTTTTTCATTAAAAACAGGGAGAAGGACCCTCGGCACCATCAGCCTCCATGCTATCTCAACAGCAGCTTCCATCATCTGTAGCACCAGCTCCTTCTACACAGCTAATGTCGAATCAAAACCAACAGCCACAACCAGCTCATGGGAAACCTTTTCTGTCACAACCACCACCACTTATGACGCAGCAAGGTCTGTGGCTCGTTTATGAACTGGTCTAATCTGTAACTTGTGTATACTGGTAGTTGCATTTAGTTCTCTAGTGTGACTTAAAAAACTTTGTCACCTTAATTACAGTGCTAATGTTGTACAATCACTTAAAACAAAGTACAGTACAACATGGTGCAGAGGGAGAAGGGATAAAAATGGTACTAGCTAGGGAGAAAACTGGTACATATGATATTCCAGAATATTTCAGTTTCAGTGGCAGTATGACAACAATTTTGCCACTTATTGTAATTGAAAGGAAATGAGATATATTTAGGCTTTTAATACTACTGCTCATTTGTTTGTTTGGGGTTTTTTGTGCAGGTGGAACAGCACCTGGTACAAGCCAAATGGATGGTTGGAGCGGAGCTGGCCAAAGGGATTACCACTACAGCATGTATAATAAAAGGACATTTGAAGAGGTTTGTATCCATTAAGAAAAACTGATTGCTTTGCATGACTTTGGATGCAACAATTAAACTTTTCCCTTTGTTAAATAAGGATCCAGCAGTCGATCCCAAATCACTTGGCATTCAACCCTCTTTTCCAAAACAGTCTCTATATAAAAAAATGTCTTTGATTCTTGATTCTTGATACTTATTACGGGATTCTCAGGAGTAATAGAAATCATGTTTCACCTCTCAAACCTGATTATTAGAAATATTGAATCTCAAGTTCCAAGGGATATATTCTTATTAGGCTTTGAGAAACTGCAAACCTGGTTGGATATGGTGTGTATACTATGTATAATTCAAATTGTTACATGTATTATATCGTAGGCTGAAGATGTGGATCTCAACGCTCATCTTCATGGAAACTGGACATTAGCTAATGCAAAGTCTCGGCTGCATCAGTATCTACAGCAGAACAGAATTCCTGCTGATTTCAAATACTCTGCTGGAGGTCCAGACCACAATAGGTACACAATGCCATAGGTTTATTTAAAAGACTCTTTTTGCAAACAGACATGGCATAGTTATAGACTTGCATTCTCAAAAAGTTTGGTTTTGCTCATGAGTGACTGTTTTGAAAATGTCTATATTTTTCAGTTTGAAAATGTAATGTTCATTTTCAAACCTATCTTTGAAATTTAGGTATAGAAAAAACAAAATATTTCAAATTTCATGTTAAAATTGATCTTGAAATGTTTTTATTATTTACTCTGTAATATCATGCTTTCATGAATAAGCACCCGTGTGCTTATTCAAGATTTCAGCAGAAAGGAGGGGCACTTATTAGAAGGAGGGTGCTTAATCTAGGGGGGCACATATTAAGGTAGTACAGCAAAAGGGCAAAAATTAAAAGGACAGGTAATGTACATCAAGGAATTCTGCAAGCACACAGAGATAAGAGTTGAAGCTGTAGTTGTAATTGCAGCAAAAAGTTTAGATGAGGTGTCCATAGAAACAGGTTTTCCTTGTATCTCTACTATATAAAGAAGTAAGCAAGATCAAGGAGGGCACTTGTTTGACATCATGGCGTGGAGGGCAGGTGCTTATTAGAACATGGGTGCTTATTTGAGTTTTTAACTCTGAAAGTACCAAATACATGATTAAAAATGCCATACATGTATACTGATTTGCTCTTTCTTTTTAGACATTTTGTTGCTGAATTATCCATTTTTGTGAAGTCTCGCCAAAGGAGTAAGTGCCAGAAATAGAAAAGAGACTTGAGATATTTTAATTATCAATGGACTTTGGCCACTTTTGAACAGTTTGGCTCTTTGCCTTGGCAATGATGATTTTGTGTAGTGTCTAACCACGAAAAGTAAGCCACAAAAGCCAGCCACGAAGGCGAAAGACAACAGTACACACAGTACATGTTTTAACACTCTCGTACTGCGCTCAAACTCTCCCAGGTGTATACTTTCACATGGACAACCACCATCCTAGTATACTACATTTTGCCAAAAATGCAGTGTGAAAAAAATGTTATTTAATGAATGAAGCACATATAGCTGGAGAAAAAGAACCAAGTGCTTCCTGTTGGAGTCAGATCTACTACCCTCTGATTATATTACATTGAATGCTTTACCACTGACCTAGAGGAGGCTTGAGAAAGGCCTAAAAACTAGGTCCACAGTGATAAACTGAAACCTTTGTAGAGTGCAGAATGAGTAAGTTGACTGATGTCAAACAAGACAGAAAAACTATAATAATTATATTATCTTAATTTCAATTTTCGTCTTTCTATTGACTTACTGCATGATCAGGGGATGGGTGAAGAGATGAACTGATTAATTGATTTATGTACATGGGATGATTGGTGAATCAAATTCATTTTCAGCTATTAGTGCACGTGAACATGCTTCCACCAAGAAACAAGCTGCCCAGAACACCTCTCTCAGTCTTGTTCGACAATTGTTTCATATGGGAGTGTTGGAAGCTGCTGAACCAGGTCAAGTTCAACCAAAGAGAGCAAAAATTGATGAGGTGAACACATGATGTCGTAGTGAGGCAGTAGTGTTCAGTATTCAAATTTAAGCAAACATCTTTGGAGAAGATACAGGTACATTCTGATTGTAGTAACCTGAGTGGAAGCCATTTATGTATTTATGGATAATATATATTTCTTAACCCTTTAACTGCCACAAGTGACCAAGACATAATTTCTCTCAAACAGACAATTGACAAGTATAAAGAAACACATCAATTAGGGGATTGTTAGTTGATCCAATACCAAATTCTCTGAACAAACATAATAAAAACTGTATGGCAGACTGATTAAAGGCTGATAGTTTCTAAAGAAACTGTTTGGGGCTGCATCGGTGGGGGTAACGAAATAATTTGGATATATCAACAAAGTTGAAATGGTAAATTGGCCACCGTAATGATTACAAAAGCTGATGTTTCAAGCGTTAGCCCTTTGTCAGAGCGGATGGCAGACTGTCAGGAGAATTACCAACAAGATCTTGAGAGTGAAAGGGTGAGCTATGGTTGGTAGAGGCATTGGCCTGATAGTCAGTGTGCTGGACTTCAGATCGAGAGGTTCACATTCAAGATCTGGCTAGTTCATTGTGTTGTGTTCTTGCATTCATTGGGCAAAAAACTTTTCTTACTTTCTGTGTGCCTCTCTCCACTCAGAACTATGAATGAATACTAACAAATGGTCAGAAAAGCCTAGCCTACTAGCAGGTGGTAGTTTGTGTTTTCAAGCATGAAATTCAGTGAGGCAAATATTGCGTTGCCATTTTGGAAAGGTGGAAGATCTGGGACAAGAGACAAAGGGGTTAGGTTTTTTTTTCTCCCCCCCCCCCCCCCTCTTCCCCTTGATTTGTCACTTGTCCCAGATCTTCCACCTGTCCAATATTAATTGCAACCAAATATTTGCTCCACTTAATCTGGTGCTTGGAAACACAAACTACGGCCTGCAAGCAGGCTAAGGAAAGCCAGATAAAATGTTGGTAGGTGACTTTGGGATGGAATGGTATCTTGTCTTAGGGGAGTAGTAACACTCGTAATGACTTCAATGATGCTTGGGAAACCAGGACAAAATCTGACTGGATGGGCCACTTGGCTTCAATACAGACTTTACCTTCTTAACTTTTGTTATTCAACATTTCAACCAATTAGATTGAACCTTATGATGTTGCTATCAGTCCTGAGATGGAACAGCAAGTGTCAGATCTGCTTCAAAGACTTGAGATTCAAGCAGTTACTCAGGTTAATTTTAGAACTCTTAACTAATTTCAAGGCATGCAATTTTTAACAGGGAAAAAACAGATGATTACTTTGTGACAGGATATATTCATTTTATCTTCCAAGATTAGTTTATGTCGTGTGTCATTTTTATCTGTAGGCCATTTGAGAAGCTTAACATTCCAGGAAGAACATAGGGTGAAACCTTTATATATGAAAAGAAGCAAGTTTTCCTTTTGGCTGTCATGTATAATAGATAGCACCTGAATATTGGGTGGGTTCAGCTCAGAAAAAGAAAAAAAAAACACTATTGAAAATTTCTCCCTGGTTTCTTTTCTCAGCCACACTTTTGGCAGTGTACTCTTATTCATTTTCTTTGTTTGGCTGATGTTAGTTCTTTGGATTTGTTTTAATAAAACTAAATTGAAATGCCCCATTATATATAGTAACTGAAACCTTGGTTAACTTTTTACATCAGACAATCTACGTTTGTTTGATCAAGATTCTTTGGCTTGTTTTGTCAGTATCTGTAGGAGGTGTACATGTACACTCTCTACCTTTCCTTAGAGAGACTCCACTCCACTTTGCAAAGTTAAAAAATCTCAACAATATCAGTGAACTAGAATCACAGTTGTTGGTTCTTTCTCCTTTCTCGTGAGCTTTAACAGAGGAAAGACTGCGTCCCTGAAGTGACAAGCCCTTTTCACAACTTTTGTGATGTACAACTGTGGGTGAAGGAAGAGACTGCCCAGCACTGGCAGTCTCTAACTTTGCCTCTAGTTGTATTGCCACTTTTAGAACAGTATCAGATGCAATTTAATTCATCTGAAGTTACAGAACTCTGTAGACTCTCAACATTGTGTTTTCATTAGTGTTGTTGGTGGTCCAGTTGAGAATTGGTCAACCACAGCCCACATGACTAGAATTTGAATTTTGTCGTAGTTCAGATTTCATATTGGTGCAAAATTTTTTAAACCTGTTTGATTTTTATATTTTTTAGTTTCAGATCAAGATGATGAATACAAGACAAAAGAAAAAGAAAATAAACATAACAGTTTTAAAAATTTTGAATTAATTGAAATTTGATCCACAACAGATGTAGGTATCTCAAAAAAATCATTTCCAAGTTCCAGTTCTGTGGCATGTGCTTGACCAGCTTAGAACTGCAAACTAAGGTCTTTCAATGTAAAACGTTGAATGGAAACTCTCAACTGACAGTTCCTTTTGTATCTTTTATAAGTTTAATTTAAGTATTCTCACTTGCTACAGGTGCAAGTCAAAATACTGCAAGACTTAATGATGGCAAATTACATGCATACACACTGAACTGTCATCTATCAAGTTTCGCTGTTGTAAACAAAAGGGGCTTGGCAATGCATAATGTGTGCCAAAAGCCTTTGTGATTGTTGAAAAGTAGTAATGGCCACTTGCTGGTGATGTTAAATCTGATGGCTTCTGCATCTGATACTGTTCTTGTCCTTGACAGGGATGTTTATCCAAAGTATGTCTGCTTCAAGGGTGTAGTCTCATCTCTTTATTATAGCTCATGATTGAGGAGAAGAATCCCTCAGCGGGAGTAGAGTATTTTGGATGGTTGAGGTAATTACAGTACAAGGTGCATTTTTGATCAGTTGATGTTCTGAAGCACAAAGAAAGTTTTAATAGGTTCAGAACCAGTTTATCAGTAATTTATTGTTAAACTGTAGTGCAAACTTGAAAGTAGGTGCATTTTGGACTGAATTATTCAGTTACATTTTTCATGATAACATTTAAATAAGACCTGGATAACATGCAGCCAGTGAGGGAATGTTTCTCAGCCAAGGTGAGGTGTGATATGTCAACAGCAAGGACACGATAAGACAAAACCAACTGAAACAACATTTCTTTTTTTCGGTTGTGATCTTTAGGGTCGCTTTTCTAAGCTAACTCACATTTGGGATGTTTTTTTTTTCAAACCTTAGATTTATTTAAGTGATTCAAGAGGTGAAATGCACTTGTTCTTTGGTGTTTGTTTTCAAAAGGTGAAAGTATTTAGTGACACTTGGCCAAAAATTATCACCTTTTTCAGTTTTGTCACCAGGACATCCTGAATGAATCAAAAAAGATCTGTCACATGCACTTCAACAGAAAGCATGTGAATCCAGCAATGTGAATCCAAGTGATTAGCATATTATGTTATCCAATTTAAGGTTTTTCATCAGTAACTGTAGGTAACTAGTAAAAATTTAAAGGAAATTTTCAGAAATGGTAATAAACTTAAGGAAACTTGTTGTGTTTTTACTTAATTGTGTTAATTAGCCCCAGGAGCCAAGCCAAGCTGTTTCCCTAGTCCTTCCCCCTGGAATGGTCAAATTTCAAGAGACAAACCCTGAACCGAGTTCTGGAATAGTGGAATGGACTCAACCACATATGAACTGGAATCCATGGATAAACCAGCCTATGATTATAGAAGGAGCTGAAGAGTATCAAGTGAGTGTCTCCAAACTGTCCCAGTCCAGTGTCTCTAAGTGCTGTTACAACAGATTACAGACTTTTGTCAATGAAACAATTGAAAGCAAATTTCAAACAATTGTTCACACCATCTTCTAGCTGTGGTGTCCTCTTTTCCCTTTCCCCTTTTCAGTGTAGGTTGTTTTTGCACATATTTCCTCTGTATCTCAGAGACAAACATTGAGGGGGGAGTAGCTGAATTGTCCCAGAAAATGTGTTATTGAGTAAGGCTCTGGGTTTGGTTATGAGTATGTACCTAGTTTTCACTTTTGTATTACAGTGGAATCCCGATTTCTTGAACTTCCAGGGGAAATGCAAATTGGTTCGAGAAATCAGGAGTTCAAGAAATCAGGGGTGAAATTACAAGTGAAGCAAATCCAAAAGAAACAAGGTTTGGTACGAGATATTGGGAGGTTCGAGAAACAGAGGGTTCGAGAAATCGGGATTCCACTGTAATTGAAAGGTCAGTTAAAGATATATATTGAATTTTTCCCTGACAACTGTTGCACAATTTCTTTTTAGGAACCCATTCCAACCAGTCAGGATTACCTAAAGGAATACAGAGAGAAACATCAAAATGTTGATGCGTATAAACAGATGTTGGACCAGCGAAGTCAACTTCCTGTGTTCCAGTACAAGTCTGCACTGATTGAGGCAATCAGAACAAACAGAGTTGTTGTTATTAAGGGTGCAACAGGTTGTGGAAAAACAACTCAGGTCTGGAAAAGGATGTCTAAGATTTCTCTTGTTCATAATTTGTTGATGTTTCTTTAAGTGCTTATTTCTGTCTGTGCACAGTGATATTACATCCATTCACCTTTTTTCAGGTTCCACAGTACATTCTTGATGAGTACATTGAGACAGGGTATGGTGCCGAGTGTTGTATTGTAGTCACTCAGGTGGGTGAATGTTGAAATCAGAGTTATGTTTCCTTTTTGTCTAAAGTGTTGTATTGTAGTCACTCAGGTGGGTGAATGTTGAAATCAGAGTTATGTTTCCTTTTTGTCTAAAGTGTTGTATTGTAGTCACTCAGGTGGGTGAATGTTGAAATCAGAGTTATGTTTCCTTTTTGTCTAAAGTGTTGTATTGTAGTCACTCAGGTGGGTGAATGTTGAAATCAGAGTTATGTTTCCTTTTTGTCTAAAGTGTTGTATTGTAGTCACTCAGGTGGGTGAATGTTGAAATCAGAGTTATGTTTCCTTTTTGTCTAAAGTGTTGTATTGTAGTCACTCAGGTGGGTGAATGTTGAAATCAGAGTTATGTTTCCTTTTTGTCTAAAGTGTTGTATTGTAGTCACTCAGGTGGGTGAATGTTGAAATCAGAGTTATGTTTCCTTTTTGTCTAAAGTGTTGTATTGTAGTCACTCTGTGAGGTGGGTGAATGTTGAAATCAGAGTTATGTTTCCTTTTTGTCTAAAGTGTTTCCCAAGAGATCCATTCTTATTATGACATAAATCAATTAGATTCAAAAGGTCACTGGACTTTAATTAAAGCTATCCTGCATGTATGCATTACCTGTTCAACAAAATTTGTTTGTATTTTTGTTTTGTTTTTAACTGGTAGTATTTAATCATGAACTCCCAAGATCTGATTGTTAGTTCTCCTCTCTGGCTGCTAAACATTCCCTTGTAAATTAGCTTCGAGAATTTGTTGTTGTTGGATCAAGATAACAACTTCTACTTGATAAGTTTAAGTATTCTCATTACCTTTTGCAGATAGTGTATTGAAATTTTAGGGAGAACTTACACATTAATCACCTTTGGCAGTTAAAGGGTGAGGTAATCGCACTTAAAGTCCATTGCTGATTTTGTTGTGTGGTATTTCTTTAACAGCCCCGGCGTATCAGTGCTGTAAGTGTGGCTGAAAGAGTGGCGAGTGAAAGAGCTGAGATACTGGGCACCAGTGTAGGATATTCAGTCAGGTTTGATACTATTCTTCCCAGAAGCCATGCCTCCATGCTGTTCTGCACAGTTGGTAAGTCTTGAGGAAAAAAAATATCACTCTTTGTCACAAGGAAAAGAAAACTCCAAATCTCATATGAGGATTCAAACCTAAGCTAGTACTTAGTGTGCAAGCATTTTGATAGGTTCTCATATATGATCTTTGGAGGAGGGATGTATAAATGATGTCACCACTAACAAAATTTTGCATTATTAATATATAAAACAAATAGATTCCATGTTGCTATGGGTCTATAAAGTCATGAATCACAGGAGTGTAATGCCAACGTGTAATGGGAACATCAGTGACATTTGGCCCTACCTTTTGAGCCACTTTTCACATTTCGACGTTGTCTTTGATCTATTAAAACTGAATGGATGCTTGGCAACATGGAATCCATTTGTTAAATACCACATAAACTACACGGAGAAATTATTTGAGAGCTAGAATATGTGGAAAAATGTTTGGGACACTGAACTTTTTTCCAACCCACAACCCCTGATAAGAAACGCCCTCCTCTCCTCTTAGTTTGAGTTTATTTATTTAATTATTTTTTTTATTGCCTGTTACTCCACAGGTGTTCTTCTCAGGAAGCTTGAAAACGGTCTTCATGGAATTTCTCATGTGGTTGTGGATGAGATACATGAGCGAGATATAAATGTGAGTTTTTTTTCGGTGTGCATTTACCTAACTTCACTGGTCATGGCCTTGCAAATGCTAGTGTTATGCTGTGTTCTTCTCCATTCAGGAGTATCAATCAAATGGGAATTCCTTAAACTGTCAAGGAAACCAATCAGAATGGAAGGCGTGATTGTGTGTGTGGTAGAACTACTTTGTAGCAGGCTGTAACTTCACTTAAGATGTCAGGGTTGACAAAAAGATTTTATGTAAGCGGACTGCGGTACAAAGTAGGCGGTATAATGCCATGCCTGCACGCTGAAAAGTGAGCCACAAACATTTGGAATAGTTAGCACGTTTTTCAGTGTAGAGGGTGGAATGCACTGGTTGCCAGCTTATTTTGATAACCCTGAATGTGGCTGAGAAGACGATAGAACAGTAAAACTTGATGTCACCAACAATATCAACTTTCAGAAGTCAACTCATTTATAAGCTCTGGGCTTGGGTTGCCTTATAGTCTGATGTTCTATCTGCTGGATGTCATAACTAGCGTTATGGAGGTGTTTTCTGTCGATGTATTTAGACTACATGCTCTGTTGACTTGTACATGATTATACACTGACGTCTTGACATGTTGAACTTCAGTTACCTCGCTCTACCTCGTTTTCCTTTACTGAAGGCCAAATTCTTTGGAAAGGGCTTGTGCTGGTATATCACTCACACGGTTTCAAGGGCTCCAAGATTTCAAGACTTTTCTATCGTAATTACCTTTTGTCTTAACAGCTAGAAGGCTTGATACAAGGTAAACTTTTGAGGGGGGACATTTTTATTTTGAATTGCAGACCGATTTTGTGTTGGTCATTTTACGTGACATGATCCAAGCGTACCCAAACCTCAGAGTTGTCCTCATGTCTGCCACAATTGACACCCAGATGTTTACAGAATATTTTGGTAACTGTCCCATTGTGGAAATAGAAGGAAGATCATTTCCAGTTCAAGGTACATGAAGGATGTATAGTGCTAATTTACGAGGTTTGGATTGTTGCATTATAGGTCAGCTTTGATTGAAAAGACTTTGATCACAAAAACTGCGTGGAAGGTGTTAAAGAACTTGTAAGAAAGACAATCACGTAATAACTTTTGTTGTGGTCGCTTAACGTATGCGACCTGGTGACACTCTTTGTCGAATAATCTTGTCCGCAATTAATAGTCATTATATAGTTATATGGTTCAGTAGTAGGGTGTTTTAGAGAAGCGTTCCGAAGGATCTAGATCTCGAGACGAGTTCATGTTTAGAGCCATTCCGAAGGAATTCGATATCATTTTATTTTTTGGTGTTTCATCTGACCAGTAATCTTTTATCTTTAAATTTTTTTCACAGAATATTACCTTGAAGATGTAATCCAAATGTTAAATTTTGTCCCACCACTTCCTGAGAAAAAGAAAAAGAGAGATGATGTGGACGATGACGAAGAGGTATCTATGATGATGGCATTTATGTCTAGGGCTCGAAGTTAAACTTTTTGCGAATTTGCCATTTAGCCGCCAAAAATTAAAAATGGTTACCAGGAAAAGGGTGAGTCTTAAAAAAAAGGAACAGAGGAAAACAAGCCAATTAAGCAAAAGTAAAAACAAGACGAAGGAAATGACAGACGAGCGCTCATTGTTGTAGCTCTACACAGCATCTTGAAGCTTAGTACCAGGTCTAATATGGAGATGTGGGCAAATATTGGGAAAGAAAACTATGAAGCATTAGTGATATGCTATGCAGATGCTTATATCAATGTAGCTTTAGACCATAAACACTAAGTAATGAACGCATAACAGTTTGCCACGTGACGGCTGAACTAAGCTCGCCAGATTGGCAACTTAAGCCGCAAATGTAGTCGCCAGAATCTGCAATTCACAGCTTGGAGCGATGATATCTTAAGCTTCAAAGATCTTTGCAAAGTATTTCACTGCACACAGGGACTTTTTCAGCATGATTGGAGCCACCGGGTATTGGTATTCACTTGCCCCAAAAATTGAGTGGATGTGGCGTGGTGAGAGTGACCATCTCATGGATGAGAGCGAAAACATCTTTCTCATTATTATTAGATCCGCTTTATTGTGTCCGAGAGGTTCAAGGATTATTAAGAGAGTCCCGTGCGACATTAAGAACATTGACATTGACATCCAAACAACAGAATGGAATTTTAGACTTACATTCCTTTAAATGTTCCTTTTTGTATTATTCTCTCAGTAAATATTAACTTTTAGATTATTTATTTTTTGCAAGCATTTGAAAGATTGAATTCCAAATAGTCGCTTTTTGTGTTTATAAATTTACCAGTGAACTCTTACTTTGCTTAAGCTATGCAAGGTTAAAATAAGTAGGATTTGGATTTAAATAAAAGTTATTATTTTTAATGAATTAGTCGGCACTACAGCAAATTTACTTATTAATTATTTTCATTCAATAGGAGAACTGTAACTTGACTTGCAGTGGCGACTACTCGTTCCAAACTAAGAACGCGCTGGCACAACTAAGTGAAAAAGAAATGTCTTTTGAACTTGTAGAGGTAAAGATGCTGTATTTATCATTGTCATTGTCGTATACTCAACAAAACCTCTCATTCCTGACGGTCAGTGACGAATGCATCAATAGGTTACGGAAGGCAATGCGCAGTTTCTAATGTTTAGTAGCCTCTTTAACCGAATCGTCGAAAAGTATCTCTAGTAAGATTTTACCCAAGCCGCACAAAGAACCGTTGATACGTAATGTTGTTGAGAATGTATGAACTAAACACTTTCTAAACTGGTCTTACTTTTTGTGATTTCTGGTTACTCGTGGTAGTTTTAAAGGCTTCCAACTTGCACCCACTTAGGAGTGCTAGTGCAATTACGAAAACTTTTAAAACATCACCCGAGCCCAAAGATCACGAAATACACCCCCATTTTTTTTCTTATGTAACTAAGCGATCTTAAAGTAACAATGTTACGACCAGAACCAGAACTTTAAAATAGGATACGTATCTTGATAGTTTAATTTAATCAGAGAGGATCCTTCGAAATGAATGAATGAAATAATAAATAAGTCTTTCGGTAGAATTTGTATACGGGTGAAGTGACTAACATTAAACTTGACCACTTTAGGCTTTGTTGAACTACATATCCGGTCTGAATATTCCTGGAGCTGTCCTCGTATTCCTTCCAGGGTGGAACTTGATTTTCAAACTTCACAAGCACCTGAAGATGCATCCACAGTTCGGTAAGGCCAAGACATGTTACATATTGAATAAGTTTCTTGTGCACACGAGGCCGTAGTTTTAGATAGAGTCGGCTTGGAAAGTGGGAGACGCCCTTTACACTGGGAAAATTCGACATACTGGTGGTTGTTGCCTTAATTGGAAAAATTGTATCATCTCCAATGATATCCGTTGCCGTCGAAGAAGTAATAGAGTTTCGGCTGCGTCAGTGGTGGGATCTTCACTGTATGAATTAGAGCCGATGCAAAAGAATGTGGAAAGTCGCATTTTTAAGTTGGAAATTAAAGATTGTTGAAAAAAACTCCTCTCTGTTTACGGTTTGTTAGATAAACCATTTGTTCATCAAGTTAAAAGTCTTCCAAGCTATTTTATTTCTTCAGTTCTAGAGCGAAACTTTCACTCAGTCAAAGAAAAGGAATACCATTTCAGACCAGAATAAGTTCAGGAATAGGCCATTTTACAGTTGTGTACTTAGTTGCCAAGCCTTTGATTCGGAGTGAGGCTAAAGGTGACCTTGTTGTGATAGAGACATGTATCTAGTTAGCATGATAACAAAGTGATTTACATTTGAAAGGCAGCAAGGTTTGTATCATAACAAGGTCACTCCTAGCCTCACTCCCGTTCAAAGGCTTGGCAACCAACCACACAACTGTAAATTGGACTATTGAACCATGTGCTAGTTTTCCAAACCTTTCACTGTTAAAGAAATGTACACCAACACGCGAATAGGAATTATTTTTCTTACATTTAGGTTTCTATATTTCGCATCCATTAATTTACGCTTATTCTTTTCGTTTTTATACGTACTATTTCTGCACCTTTATTTTCGCTCTTTTATGCAAATTACGCCTTCAGTTCCTTTATATATCATGTTTTACGCCCCTTTTCGCAGTGTATCTTGCCTTTTTTCGTCATGTAAACCTTTCTCCCGTTGAATGTTTTCGTGTCTGGTATACTCCCTCAGCAGTTGGAAATAACTTCGTCTTCACACATTAAAGAGTAGTAAATAGAATACTGAGTCGTGTTTGAATTGAAGCAGGTCCTTGCCTCTTCAAGTACTGCACACACCTTGGTCACTGAACCAATCTTGTCATTAGAAAATAACCCAACTGACTTGAATGGAGCTAAGGAATGCTAAGAATCAAAACAAGCAGAGATGACCAAAAGTTCAGATGGAATTCATTGCTTGTTTCATGTTGTCAAAGTAGTTAGTTTTGTGGAAGTGATCACGGTCACTGTTGTCGTACTGTCAGGATGCGTTCAGAACTTTCTTTCTTGTAACGAAAAGCCTGAAGGCGTTAACGTGGGATGCGTTGGTCGTTAAAATAGATACAACAAGTCTGCAACACGGGATATTATATGCGGTCACCCATCCAAGAAGTAACCTCAGCCTACAGTGCTTAACTTAAGTGGGAAGCGCATACGCGTGGCTAACTAGCACGTGGCTTATTTCCATATCTGACCACGGGAGCACTCGAGCGAATTTTTAACTTTGTCTGCAACAGGCATCCTACGTAATTATTGCGCCGGTGTGTTGACCTTGTCGCATAAAAGGCTGGTTCTTCTCCTTTGCAGATAATTCTTTCTACAAACATCGCTGAGACAAGTATTACAATTGATGATGTTGTTTTTGTCATTGATTCAGTTAAGTAAGTACCTAACATACCTGCCAATCCTTGTGGTGACGATTAAGTACTACAGTACTGCATTTGTGCTAAAAAACGTACATGGTCTTTGAATAATGTAAGCTGATTTTTTTACTGTCGATCGAAAAAATGTGAAGACAACAAGGACAAACGTAATTATAAAGAAAACTCTTAACATGTTTTAACACGACTATTAAATACAGGGCTTGTTAAAATAGTGAAGTGCCAAACAAACTATTTACTTACAAAACTGCCAAAAGCTAACGAGTTCTGTGATTACTTTAATTTGTCATCAGAGCCAAAGTGAAATTATTTACCTCACACAACAACATGACAAATTACGCCACTGTATGGGCATCGAGAACCAACATGGAACAAAGGCGAGGTCGAGCAGGCAGAGTCAAGCCAGGCTTCGCTTTCCATCTTTGCAGCAGAACGAGAGCTTCAAGGTCAGTTTTGGGAAGAGTTCCTGTACGTACCAAAATGTTGATAAAATTTTCCCAATGTTGTTAAGTCCCTTACTTGAGGAAGTTGTGTGTAAAATTGGCTTTCTCAGGTGAGGAACTATTTCGTGGCATATGGCTTTTTTTTTTTTTATGGTTGGTAGTTTTGCTGCCGTACATGAAACTGTGTTAAACTTCTATGTCTGTTTTTATGTTTCTTGGATTTAATGGTTACACCTCTTGACATTTTGGATTTCGGAGACCTCGAGAAGAAAAACAACAGAGGTAATCGTAACCCATCTGAGAAGGAATCAAGATGGCAAAGGGTTGAAGGAGATTAGCACAGATTGAAAATGAATTAACAATTCGTTCATGCTTTAGCGTGCACTATCGAGTTATGGAGCACGCGGGAAGTTTGGAGAGCACGAAAGAAGCGTAAGAGTTGCCCGAGGCAATAGCCGAGAGCAACTCTAGCTTCTTGAGTGCTCTCCAAACTTCCCACGTGCTCCATAACTCGATAGTGCACAGCTGAAAGCATGAACCAATTGTTTTAGAGCATAGCCGGTGGAATTGTGCATCAAATCCGACGCGAAAAACGGACAACAATATCAATTGAAGCGAATCGTGACGGCGGTGATGCCGAGTCTCCTTTCCCGTTGTTTTCCCTTTTTCTGCCTCATTTAAGAACTCTAGCCCAGTGGAAATGGTCGAAAAATTGTCTTCGTTTTGGTATTAGTCGGCCGAGTCTCTGTTTGTATCCATTATTGTCGCGAAATATATCACTTTTCCCCTAGCTAACAATGGCCGCTCGCGCGAAAAAAAAAATTCTGGCGAAACGATTTGCTCACGCTATATCAGCGTGCACTATCGGGATTTTGAGCACGCTTACGTATACTGAATTTGATTGCGCGGCTCTGCTAGCTATGTTCTAATACAAAATATCAGTGTGGTCAGATAGAGAAACACAAAAAAGGTAATTCTAAACCAACAGGGTAGGAGATGGTCAACGATGGAGTGGATTTAGACGGATGTAAATTACTTAAAAATATTCGTTTGGTCAGATAGGAAAACATAAAAGAGACATTAATAAACCAACAACGAACGAGATTAGCCAAGGATTGAGAAGATTGTCACGGATAACAAATCACAAACGCGGAAATTTTGTACTTGTTTTTACAGACTCGCTGAACACGCCACACCGGAGATTTTGCGCACACCGCTTCACGAGCTGGCCCTCACTATCAAATTTCTAAAACTCGGAGATATCAGAGAGTTTTTGAACAAAGCCATCGAGCCGCCCCCGCTTGATGCTGTGGCAGAGTCCATTGCACTGTTGAAAGGTAAAGAAAGTGCTATGTA